TTTGGTCCCCGCCCGCCTGCGTCCGGCCAGGGCCAGGGTCCTGGCCTCGTTTTGCTCGCCGTCGTCTGCTGGCCTGGCCTGGCCTGGCGTTGGCCGCTCCACGGACGACAGACGACGGGGCTTCTCGATGCGCCCCGCCTGGCTGCCTACATGTAGCTGCCGCCGAGGGTTTTCTTCGATGCACAGAGAGAGCGAGAGCGGGTTCGAAGCGAGATTCAGAAGCAAGCACCAGGCGTCCCTCCCTGCCGCGTTGTCCGTCGCTGCCCGGTGTGGGCGCTGGTTTCCACCGTCGGCCAGGTCGCGAGCTCGCATCGACCGACCCTGAAGACGAGATTCAGAAGCAAGCACCAGGCGTCCCTCCCTGCCGCGTTGTCCGTCGCTGCCCGGTGTGGGCGCTGGTTTCCACCGTCGGCCAGGTCGCGAGCTCGCATCGACCGACCCTGAAGACGACCGCTGCGATCCGTCTGGAGCTTTCAGAGGGCCTCGTCCACCGGCGACCAAGGAGAAGCTACCGCATCTACGGTTCAAACCATCCCGACCTTACGATGACGGTGGGTAAGGACGAGAGCGAGAGAGCGGCCAGCCGGGTCGGAGGATGAGAATGAGGACGAGGATTAGGACGAGGACGAGGATCTTTGGATTTTCGCAAACCTCGATCCGCCGCTCTGTCAAGTCGCCGGCGCTGCGTTGCGGCTCAGACCAGACGCGCGACGATGACCGGCGAGCAAAGAACCGCGATGCGAGCGCCGCCGTCGCCGCCGTCGCTGCTGCAGCTGCGCCTTCGAGAGAAGAGTGCGTCGTCGGGCGGGAGAGCCGCCGTGGGTGCCGTCGTGTGACTCGGTCCCCAGCGAAAGGAACGAGACCGAGAGGCCAGGCAGCCCACCTACCAAACGGCCTCTTTGGCAAAGGCCAGGCCGAGCCAGAGCGCAGTCGGGAGAAACTCCACGCACGTCGACTTCGCCGTCGGCCGTCCGACTGCGCGCCGGTCGATGTTCGACCAATGACAAGGTCGCGATTGTATCAACCGGGCTCGTCGCATCCTTGCATCTTATCGCTCCACTCTTGAGCTCGAGTCGGCCCGTCGCACGCCGCATGCCGCCCACTGCTGTACTCGGCAGGACGCGGCGAATTGACCGATCCCCCCTCGGACCCTCCGCGCGGCACGGAACCCTCTACGCCGCTCAGTCTTCGCACGTCGGTCGTCCCGCTTCGTCCTCTGCCCGTCGAAAGCCGCCCCGGTCTCTGGATCCGTCGCTCGTTGGGCGGAAAGCGCCACGCGCCGTAGCTAGGTACTAGGTCAAGTGACTCTCAATTGCCACCGTGATTCCGATCGATGCTGACGCCCTGCTTTGCCACAGCCCCACGGACCACGGCTCACCGTCGAGCCAGCGGCTGTCTGCGCACCACCGGTCGCTTGGTCGGGCTCTCGCTCTTGCGCGGCGACCGCCTCACACCCGCTCCAAAGCCGCGCGACTCACCACGTCCTTCATCGTCGTCGACCTTTGTTGCCGCCGCCGACGAAGACGACGAAGATGACCGCCGCGGCACTTGGTCCCTCTCGGTCAATGTCTCGGACTCCACCGCGCCATCGGCAGCAGCGGCAGCGGCGGCGGCGGCGTCCCGCTCTTCCCGACCGACGAGGTCCAGCAGCTTCTGCCTCTCCTTCCTCGCTGCCGGATCGTCGTAGACCACCCGCAGGCTGGCGTCAAACACGCCCTGCGTCGAAGACGGCATCGCCGTGGCGCCCCGGTCCAGCCCCAGCGAGATGCCGTGCGCGGCCGCCTCGGCCGCCCTCTGCGCCTCCTTTTCGGCCTGCAGCGCCAGCACCCGCTCCGCCGCGCTCACCGCCGTGTGCCACGACGATGTCGACGTCGACGACGTCGAGCCGGTCCCCGCAGACTCTGCCGCCACCGCCACGTCGGCCTCGTTCGACCTTCGTTGTTTCCTCGACCGCGGCGGCTGGCGCGAGCGTCGCTTGGCGCTCTGCTCGAGCGCGCGGCTCCGCAGCAGCGCCATGACCTGGTCGGCCGCCGCCTCCTTGTCCAGCGTCTCCTGCAGCGGCTGCAGCGGCGACCCTCGCCTCTGTTCGCCGCGTGCCGCCGTCTCCTCCCCGACCCCTCCTAGATCCGCCGAAACGTCCGCCATCGTCTCTTCGTCGTCACCGGTGTCGAGCGGCTCAATGGCCAGCGGACTGGCCGAGCGGCCGCGCTCCTCGCGCAGCGACGCCACTTCGTAGTCGTGGCGATCCGTGCGGCCGAGCGTCACCGCCTCGCCACGCGCCACGGCGGCCGCAGAGGCCCCGTCTCCACCCATCGAAGTGCCCGCCGAAAGGGAGCGGTGCCATGGCTTGGCAGCTGCGACGGCGCCGTGCTGGCTCGTCGGAGCGAGCGTGGCCTGCGACGACCCGAGTCGCTTGCCGATCGACTCCTCGACGTCGGGCGCCGACACCGCCGTGGCAAGCGACTTGTGCGGATTCAGGCTCGGCGGAAAGAGCCGCTCGTCGATGCGCGCTCGCTTCTCGTAGCACTGATCGAGCCAGGTCGGGTGGACGACGACCGCGCCGGGCGCCAGCGTGCGCAGGTCCGGGGCTTGCCGCTCCGGGCCCTGGTGGAGTAGGTGGGTGGTCGACGAGTCGGGCGCCGCCTGGAAGGTGGCTCCGAGCGTAAAGGCCCTCTTCTCGATCGCAATGGTGCCCGTCACGATCGAGCGAGCGCAGGCCACAAAGCAGCCGGCGAGGGGCGCCTCGACCCCACCGAGCTGGCTGGCTTCGTCGTGGAGCGATTGACTTGCTGCGCCGGGCAGGCCTCCGCCGCTGGTGCTCCTGAACGGCGGCCGGCGCCCTTGCACTCCCAGGCTGTTCCTCGAGAGACTCTCGCTGTGGCTGCGCGAGACTGACCTGTCCGGAACGGCGATCGGGTGCCCGGACGGATCGATTCGCCCTTGCATCCTGGCAGCCTGGAGCCAGTCGAGCGACACCAGCGGGATGCCGACCGAGGCTGCCCTGGTCGCCTTGGTGCTGTTCCGGCTCTCGTCGGTGGCGCAGAGAACGTGGGTGAGCGTGCTGCCGCGCAGCCGCTCGACGACGGTGCAGCCCACCTCTTCCAAGAGCCTTCGAGCGTGATAGGCCTCGGCGCCGCCTTCTGGGAAGCCCAGCACCAGCACCCGCAGCCCTGCGGCTTCCTGGAGCGGTAGCCTTGCCTCAGCGGGAAATCCGGCAAAGTACATCTCTGGCTCGACCAGAGTCTCGGTGTGCAGGCAGTACTCGACCCAGCGTTGCGTCACCAGCCGCCCACGACCTGCCGCTGGCCGCCGAGGCGATCGGTCGCCGCGTGAGGCCCGAGCCGGCTGTTCGCCGCTGCTGTGCACCACGCAGTAGTCGGCAGAGCCGGCATCGTCGCCGACCAGCACCTTGGCGCCCGCCTTGGTCAGAGTGGTCTGCATGACCGGGATCACGCTCGTCGACGGCATGTTGATGCGGATCGTAAGACCTGCGAACACGCCCGGCTTGGCGCTGGTGGCAGCATCGTCGGTCGATCTGCCGAGATCTCCAGCGTCCGCCTTTGCCTCCGCATCGACGTCGTCGGCCGCTGGCCGTGTTGCTGCCTCGTCGCTCCGACGCCTGGTGGAAAGGCTCCGCTTGATCGGCTGCTGGGCCTCGGCGAAGCTCGACGCCCTCGACATGGACAGGAGACCCCCACCTCCTCTGGCTTTCGAGGTGGGCAGCCGCTTTGGTGGCGGGAGATGCCCGTCGCCCGAGGCGGGACCCTCGCCTTCGCCTGGCTGCCGCATGGGGACGATCTGCGACATGACCCGCGCAAACGAGTCGTTGCCGGCCGCACCGCCTTCGCCCTGGTTGGCGCGGCGGCTGATGCGGATGACGGCCTCCTCCTCTTCCTCTTCCTGCCCTCGCTCTCGCCCGTCGTGGCCGCCCCTGCCAGTGGCCAAGCCGTCATCGCCGTGCGTTGACAGGTCGCCCGATGCCTCGCGCTCGAGGGCTAGACGCGGGCGCTTCTGAGACTGCTGGCTTGCGGCGGACCGGCTGCGGGTGTTGAAGGCGGTGCGCCGGGTAAAGGGCGAAGGGATCTTCTGGACGGCCCTGGCGATGAGCTCCTTTCGCAGCGACGAATCCGGCGGCGGGGCAAAGACCGAGTAGTCGGCCTCGTCGAGGCAGCCGTCGGCGTCCTGGCAGTCGTTGAGCCACTCTGGGCGCACGACGAGGATGCTGGCGGCGGCGTCCTCCTTGGTGCCCTCGATGCCGCTGCGGGCCCGCTGCTGGAAGTGCACGACGTAGCGGATGCTCTCGGACGCCCTCGGATCGGCGGTGCCCGAGACGAGGTGGGTGATGCTGCCGTCGAAGCGGAGCTCGTTTGAGACGGTGGCGCCGAGCGCGGAGGCGAGCTTCTTGAAGGCGCGCCTGTCGGCCGTGCTGCAGCCGGCGAACGCCAGGGTGACGCCCTCGAGGGGCCTGAGCCGGTAGGCGTCTTGCAGCTGACCGGAAGTGAAGGCGCAGATGAGAGCAAGGCGCGAGGCCCGAGGTGACACAGAAGGGGGATGTCAGTCGAACGCCCGCATCGGTCCAAGGGCAGCGCCGCCACCATCCGAAGACGAGGGCCGGCAGGGCCTTGGGAGCGGAGCGAGGGGCGGGACGGGACTCACGTCTTCCGGGTCGACGTCCTGGCCGTCGAGCCACTTTTCGCGCATCTCGGTGATCCAGTCCGGGTGGACGATGTGCATGCCGAGCTCGAGGGCGCAGCGGTACTTTTCCGAGCCCGGGCGCTCTGCGATGAGGTGTGTGACGTCCTCGGTGAGGTTGCCCTCGACCTGTGCGCCCATCTCTGTGGCGTAGGCGGTAAGTGTGAGCTTTGCCTCCCCGAGGCCGGTCATGGAGATGATGGCGCCGCGCAGGGGCCTGGCCGAGCCGCCGATGAAGTCGGCGTCGATGTGTGCTCCGCGGTCGACGCCGTCGTCGCGGAGCTGGCGGAAGTGCTCGTCATCCTCGAGGTGGTCGCGGGCGTCGTTGTGGGCGCGGGAGCGTTTCGACGACGACGGACCCGACGACGAGGTGGACGCGTTGGTATCGGGCGCTGCTGCGGGGCGGAGCTTTACGTTTGGGATCTTTGTGGAGCGGTGGGAGCGGCTGAGGCGGTTCATGGCATGCGGCGTTGATCAGGGACGGTGTTGGCAGCGGACGGCGGGCGTTTTCGAGCAGAGACGACGTAGGCAAAGCGGAGGGTGAGAAGGGAGAGAGGGAAGGGCAGACGACGATGATGATGGTGGCATGGAGGACGGGTCGGCCGATGCTGAGCAGGTGCGCGAGTCCGGACAGCGGCCTCTGCGGAGGTGCTGCGGGAGCGAGGATAGGGTATCGAAGGATGTTGGAGCGTCTATGGAGCCGTCGAGGGATCGAGGCTGGGGCAATGCGAAAGCGGCTTGATGATTGGGCGACGGCAGAAGGGTGGCGGTGATGGTGGTGAGGACGAGAGGAGAGGAGAGGCGCCGAGGTGTTGGTGTGCGCCGAGGTGTTGGTTTGCGGCACACTTTGTGTTACCGTGGGTGGCCCGCCTGCCTGCCTGCCTGCCTGCCTGCCTGCCTGCCTGCCTGCCTGCCTGCCTGCCTGCCTGGGCCTCAGCTGCGCGCCGATGAACAAAGTTGAAATGAATCCGGACGGCGCGACGCGTCGACGGTCGCCGTGCGTGGCGTAGACGAGAGACGAGGGTGAGGCAAGCCATGGTGGCCAGTGGGGTCGGTGCTGGTGGTGTTGGCAGCTGGATGTCGTTGGGACCGGACAAGAGGCTCGTGCTCGCCGACAAGAAGGCTCTCAGCATGTGCTCGTTCGACAGGAGGAGCAGCCGTTGTCTGGCTGCGCTGGTGTCGGCCGCAGGGATGCTTTGGAGGTCAGCAGAGGCCGATCTGCTTCTGGCGGCGTGCGAGGCAGCGTGGCGAGGGTCGTGTGCGCGTAGGCGTGCGTGTGGAGGAGCCAGGCCCAGGGCTGACCGATCGAGCCGAAAGTGAGGGCCAAGGCGGGGCTGCGCTTGGCCTGGCTGGGCTCGGCTGACGGCGCTTGGTCTGCTGTGTGTCTGAACCCTGAGGCAAACAACCTGGCGGGCGAGCGGGCAGGCGTGCGTGTCACTTTCCAGCGGTCAGAGCCAAAGTCAGAGCCAGGGTTAGAGCCAGAGCCAGAGCCCGGAGGCTGACCTCCTGGCAGCCCGACGCAGGGCAGGCTAAGGCAGGGAGGTCGACCTGCCGGGGCTGCCCCCGCACGCAAAGCGCACGCTACGCTGCGCCCAGCTCACGCTTGCTCCTAATCTGGCTGGCTGGCTGGCTAGCTGGCTGGCTGGGTTGGACTTGACTTGACCTGGACCTGGACCCCGCTCGCAGCCGTGGCCCCTGCCCGCCCGCCCGCCTGTGCCTTTCGCTTGCGCCCTTTCAAGCCGGGCCCGACCCAGTGTCCCCTCTGCATGCGTGGCCCGGTCCCCTTTACGCTTGGCCTTTGACCCATCAAGTCTCCATCATCCGCTCACGCCCCTCGACTCGGACACCGTCGACCGCCATCACCGCTTCTCCTCCTCGGTGGCCTAACCGGCTCTGCCTGTCTTTGAGCCGTCCAGCACGCCTTCGCCTCCCCCCCCTCGACTTCACCACAGCAGCTCGACGACGACGACCCCAGCCTCTCTTTACCGCACACCGCCCTGCGGATCTCGACGGATCGGCTCCCATCCGAAACTCAACGCGGCAGTAGTCGCCGCCGTCGCCGCCGCCGCCGCTTCCTCGGGCGTCACTCGTCTGACCCTCGCCTTTGACCATGCCACCTTCGTCCTCCAAGCACCACAGTAACGGCGCCGCCTCGGCCGCGGCCGCGACTCTTTCGGGCCGTGCCGACCAGGTCGACCTCACTTCGCCCGCCAACCTGCGCAAGCTGGTGCTCAACTACCTCGTGCATCACTGCTACGCCGACACCGCCTCGGCCTTTGCCAACGACGGCATCTCGGGCTACCTCGCCGGCCCCAGCAGCGCAGCAGACGGACTGACCGCCGCCTCGACCGACGAACAGCCTGCTGCACCCTCACCATCCGGCAGCCGCGCTGCCGCCTCTTCTTCTTCTTCCAGCTCTCGCGCTAGCCGCACAAACGACGCCGCCTCGGCCTCACCCTCACAATCCGCATCGCGCTCCTCGGCCCCGGCCACGGCCACGGGCAGGCAGGCCCATCCCCTCTCTGCGCCCCCGCTCTCCCGCCAGGACTCTTCAATGGAGGTCGAAGCCGACAGCCTCCTTGCCCTCGCCACCAGTGCATCCTCCTCTTCCGCCGCCGCCACGACAAGGGGAGATCACAACGGCAGCGCACCCACCGCCATGGACGAGGACGTCTCCATGGGAGAGGCGACATCCGCCAGCCATGCAGCCAACGGTCAGTCGCAAGCGGCTCCAGGCTCATCCAAGACGGCCGTCAACGGCAGCAGGTATGCGTCAGCTCGTGCGGGCGCAGCGGGCGACCTGGGCGCACAGGGCAACGCCGACGAGCAGAGCGACCTGCCAGCAGCAGAGCTCCGGGCAGTCAAGATCCGCAAGGGTGAGTCCAATCGTCGTGCTCGAGGGTCACGGCAGGACTGTCGTCGCTCACCTCCAGCCACCGTCCTCGCTTGGCCCGACCGCCCCCTCTCCTGCTCCACGGCTTCCGACCCCCGCAGAGATCCGGGATCACATTGTCAACGGACGCATCCGCGTCGCCATCGACCTGTGCAACACCCACTTCCCCGCGGTGCTCAATACCGATGCGGCCAGGATCGTGACGCTCGACCGCGATGCAGGCCAGGTGGCGACGTCCTCGACGGCCACCGACCGCGTGCTCCCGGCCAATCCGACATCGCTTGACCCGGCACACCTGCTGCTCAACCTCCAGATCCAGGTGTTTATCGAGATTATCCGCTCCGCCACGTCGTCGTCGTCGGGCATGGCTGGTAGCTCGGCGTCGCTGCCGCCAGGCTCGTCTCCGCAGATCAGCTCGTCGGGCTACCTGCCGTCGTCGCTGGCAGCCGCCAACACGCCCGGGATCGCCGCGGCATCCATCTCTCGCGCCGCCTCGCCGGCGCCCTCGTCGAGCTGCTCGTCGGCCGGGTCGGGGACCTCGGCGACGGGGGGTGCGGCGGCCGTCAATCCGGCGCTGCACTCGGCGCTGGCCGTGGCTCAGGGCCTGTACTCGAGCGCGCAGAAGCTGCCGAGCTACTGGCGCGCCATGTACCTCAAGGAGCTCGAGCAGGTGACGGCGCTGCTGGCCTATCCCGACGTCGAGCACAGCCCGGTACGCAAGTTCCTCCACCGGTCGCGGAAAGTGGCGCTGGCCGAGCAGGTCAACAGCGCCATCCTCTGTGAGTGGTCCAGCTGGCGTGTCTGGGCGGTTGAAGCAGCAGCCGTCTGACCCTAATTCTTTGCATCTCGCCGCCGCCGCTCCGACGATGACGCAGACCGGACCGGCAAGCCGTCGCAGCCGCTGATTGAGTCGGCGGTGCGGCAGACGGCGTTCACCTATGCCGGGCTCAATAGCGACAAGGTGGCGGTGCCGAGCGGGCACCCTGTGTTTTCGGTGGCCGGGTGTCCTGCAGGGCCGTACGAGGAGACGCAGTCCAAGAAGAATGGCGGAGGCAAGGTGAGTGCCGTGGTATGGTCGTCGTTGTCGCTGTCGTTGCTGGGGAGGGTGTGGAAAATTGTGCTGACGGCGTTCCACTGCCCCGCATGCCGACGACGGTCAAACAGATCTTGCCTCCGTGGAACTTCCGCAGCTTCCTGGCTGAGCGTTAGACTGCGACGTGGAGGGACGACGGCAGAGAGCGGGCTACGGGGTACGCCCGACCCCTGCGTGGCATTCGCTCGAGCTGTCCCGAGTTTGGACGGAACCAGGCTGCAATATCGATGCTGTCCACCGCCACCCAGCGGTAGGTGCTGCCTCCTCGCCTGGACGTACGCCAAGGGACTAATCGCGAGCGCGACTGTAGGTCCGGAGGCCAGGTCCATCTGGACTGGACTCAGCATCGTTCGGGCCCGCACAGGGAGCGGACTGACGCGCAAGGCCGTACACGTCTGACTTTGACTGAGTTCGACGCGCGATTGTGATGCGCGACGAGTGGCGTCGAGACCCGCCGGGGTGTCCCATCGCGCTGGCCTGACCTGTGTATGGACCTTGCGGATGAAGTCCAGGGGTGAGGGCGGAACGGTGTGCCGTCGAGCGACTGAGCAGGCTAAGGTGGTGCTGCTGCTGCGGGGTGACGCTACCCCGCCGCCCGTCAGGCCGCCGTGCTTGTGGAGGCGGGCGTGATCGGAAGGCCGTGCGCCAAGAGCCGAAGGCAGCCGGTACAGGCCAGACCAGGCCAGGCGGGCGGGCGGGCTCGGCTTGGCCAACCCGGAAGCCGGGCCCCACGACCTTGGCCCCCCCGCTCGGCAGCTGACCTTCTCAACTTTCCACCATCGCCGCAATCGCCATCGCCATCGCCATCGCTCTCATCGCCGCCATCGCCGTTCACTGGGCCGCGCCACCCTTACCGAACTCGACGGTATCACTAGCTCGACATGCCACCGCTGCCGCCACCGTCCAGCATGTTCCGCGCCATCCCCAGTCTTCGCACCGGGGCTCGGCAGGGTGGGTGCTGGCCTCGCCTCGGGTCGATCCCGTACGTGGCGCACCGCCGATGCTTTCACTTACTCTGTCGTGATCTCCTTGCATTCAACTCGCCTCCTCCCGCTCTGCTTCGATTCACAGCGCTACCACGTCATACCCAGCCATGCCGTCTGGCCGCGCAGAGGCGGACGTTTGTCGCCTCCGCGCACCGCGCGGTGCAGCAGACGGGCAGGGCGCACGCCATCGAAGCCGCGTCCCCTTCATCCTCGGCCGCTGCCTCTTCCGGTGCCGTACCGCCGCGCGGCTCCCAGACCACTGCTTCTGGCGAGAGCACCAGCACCGGTCCCGCCACACCCGCGGTCAAGGCCGACGAGAGGTCTAGGTCCGTTCTCGTCACCTGGGCCAGTGGCGTGACGTCCAGGTAGTGAGTAGCGAGAAATGGTGCCTCCAGGGCCCAGAGCGCGGCGCAGCTGACGCCCCTTTCCGTCCATCCCGCTCCCGCAGCCACAACATCTGGCTGCGCGACCACTGCCGCTGCTCCGAGTGCTACCACCCCAAGACCAAGCAGCGCCTGCTCAACACGTTCGAGATCCCTGCCGACGTCCAGCCGCGGCAGGTCGAGAGCACGACCGAAGGCCTGCTGGTACACTGGCCGCCCCTCTCTTCCGCCCTCGTCTCATCTTCGTCCCACCCTGCCTCGCCATCGAGCTCATCGGCCGCTTCCATCGACGCAGCCACCGCCGCCTCGTCGTCGTCGTCGTCGTCGGCGGCGGGGGGCCCGCCCTCGACGCCGACGAGGGTGGGCGACCACGCCTCGCTGTACCCTTGGCGCTGGCTCATGCACAACTCGTACTCGCCCGTGTTTTCCGACAGCGTCTCGGCGGCCCTCGACGAGGGCAGCGCCACGAGCATCGAGAAGGTCCTGTGGGGCAAGGGCATCGGATCCTCGCCGCCCACGGTCAGGTACGACGATGTCATGGCCAGCGACGAGGGCGTGCTCAAGTGGCTCACCAAGGTGGTAAGTGGCCCCAGCCCAGCACGCGGCTCGCTCCGATGCCCGACGCGAAACGAGATGCTGACTTGCCTCTTGCTTTGATGGCGGACCGATCCTCACTGCACTTCCTGCTACGCCACGCCACGCCAGGCCCAGTACGGCTTCTGCTTTGTCCAGGGCGTTCCGCCGACGCCAGAGGACACCGAGGCTCTGGTGCGGCGCATCGCCTTTATCCGCGAGACGCACTACGGCGGCTTCTGGGACTTTACCTCGGACCTCTCGCACGGCGATACCGCCTACACCGACCTGGCGCTGCAGGCCCACACCGACACGACCTACTTTACCGATCCGGCCGGGCTGCAGCTCTTCCACCTGCTCAGCCACACCGCGTCCAAGTCGTTGTCGGCGGCGGCGGGCTCGTCATCGTCGTCATCGCCTTCTTCCTCCTCGTCATCGTCAGCTTCGTCGTCGTCGGCGGGCGGCGGTAGCGCCTCGACGTCAGGACCATCGGGAGGCGAGTCGCTGCTCGTCGACGGCTTCCTAGCCGCCGAAGTGCTGCGCGACGTGCACCCGGACGCCTACGACGTGCTGTCGCGCGTGCGGGTCCGCACGCACTCGGCGGGCGACGAGGGCATCCTGATCCGGCCGCTGTTCGAGTCCGGCTACCCGATCCTCGAGCACGACGACCGCGGCGCGCTGGTGCGCGTGCGGTACAACAACGACGACCGCAGCGTGCTGCGCATCGACGAGGCCGATGTCGAGGCCTTTTATGATGCCCTGAGGAAGTGGGATGCGATTCTGCGCAACGACGAGGGCGAGTTTTGGCAGCAGCTCAAACCTGGTACTGCGCTCAGTGAGTCATGGCAGAGTAGAGACGGGAGCCGGCGTCGTCGGGAGGGGCTAGGGTTCGGATCGTGCTGCATCCCCCTCCCGCGGCCAGAGAGGGATTGTATACTTACCCCACTGCCCCCGCTTCCCCGTCGTTTTTGTACCCCCTTGCCCTGGCCCACTCATCCCTCGCTCCGGTACGCATCCACTCCGACGTTGCGAGCAGTATTCGACAACCACCGCGTACTACATGGCCGCTCAGCTTTCGTGGGAAACAGAAGACTGTGCGGTGCCTAGTGAGTCCCCTCTCCCGTTAACCCCCCTGCGCCCTTGTCTTGAAACCGCATCCTGACACTCGATGCACCCCTCTCAACCCACCGCACAGCATCAACCACGACGACTACCGCAGTCGTCTCGCCGTCCTCCACGCCCAGTACGCCGCTAAACGCTCCGTGCGCGGCGTGTGGGATGATGGACTCTAACACGGACCCCACTGTTCCTTGTCTCTTTGCTCTCACCCCGAGTCGGGAGATTTGCTCTCACCTCGAGTCGGCAGCGAGGAAGGGAGGGAGAAAGGCGTCGGAGGGTAGAGACAGAGGGGGACATGGGACCGGCTGGGGTTTCGTTGTTCGCGCCGCCGTGCGCCGTGTAGAAGGATGGCGTCGGTCGACGTACCGACGCGATTTTTATAAAAGTACAACAACAGCGACAGTCACCGCTGCCGCCATCGCCACCGCCACCGCCGCCTCTGCATCCGTCACCGCCACTCGTCGGCGGGCAGGCGGGCGACGAGGGAGCCCGTCGTCGTTCAATCCCAACCCGCCCGCCGTCCGCCCGTCGCCGCTACTGCTGCCACCCACCCCTCCCCGTCATCACCGCACCTTTTCAAACGCAAAGCCCTTGTAGAGCGTGACGGCCTCCCACATGTCTTCGTCCATGACGAGCTCGCCGCGCGCGGCGTCGACGACGCGCATCCGCTCGGCGAGGCTGCCAAACTCGGTGCCGTTGCGCCGCCCGCCGCGGCCGTCCTGGTTGTAGATGTCGGCAAAGTTGTGCGAGTAGACGCAGCGCAGGCCCACCTCGTCGGCCAGGGCGAGAAACGTGGGCCAGTCGACGACGTACTCGGGCACGTTTTCCACGGCGTCCTCGAGGAAAAACGTGTACCGGTCGCCGAAGGGCGTGTTGGCCAGCCGCTCGTCAAACGTGAGGTGGTAGTGGGCGTTGCCAAACGTGCGCGACGTCGCGCCGCTGCGGTACAGCCGGTTTCTGTTGCGGCGGCGATCCAGAGCGATAGGGGGTGTGGAGACAGTGAAACCAGCGCGTGCAGAGAGAGTGGTGAGCGGCGACGTCCAATCTCTTCAAAGCAACGTTGCAGACAAAGCTCGTCCTCGCCGCGACTCACCTCAGCACGTCGCAGTCCGGGATGGTGCCGATAAAGGTGCCGCCGACGCGCAGGAAGCGGCTGACGTTGTCGAGCATGGTGCGCGCCTTTTCGACGCTCTCCCACGCGTAGTGCATGCAGAACTGGAGGCTGACGGTGTCGATGCCCGGCTCGAGCAGCTCGCGCGGCACCACCTCGGTCAGGGGCCGCGAAAAGCAGTCGAAGGCGAAGAAGCGCGCCTCGAAGCGCGACTTGTTGTCGCGATGGCGCTGGATGGCCTGCTCGATCGACACCTGCGCAATGTCGACGCCCACCAGGCTCGCCGGGTTGACCTTGTCCCACTTTTTCAGGTCGCCCCCCTTGCCGCACCCGAGCTCCATCATCCGGCCGCCACGCGGTCGTCCGCGCCCGTCGAGCCGCGGATCGTCACCGCGCGAGAAGCGGCCGATGAGGACCGACTTGACCCAGTTGTTGAACCGCCGCAGCGCAATGATGGGCGACTCTTCGCGGCCCTGGATGCCCACCTCGCGGCGCTTGTTGTCTGTGGCGCGGGGAGGGGGTAGAGAGGATGGTACGGAGAATCGACAGCGGCTTGGCATGTCAGCGGGCGCGCAAGGGCACCGGCCGACGAAGCAAGGCGCGGCTCCAACTCACAGTGATCCGCCACCTCGAGTGCATCCTTGAGGTCGTCATCGCGAGCACGCTTGAGCGCCGCCTCGGTCTCGGCGTCGCGCCCCGACCCTTGAGCCTGCTTGGACTCGTAGTACTCTCGCAGCAGGTTGTCGAGAGGTTCGCGGCTGTCGGCGCGATGGTGTCGCTCCCATTCCTCGCGCAGCGGGTTGCGGCACCGCCGTCGCTTGTCGTCGATCTCGTCGATGCCAATCGGCCGCATCACCAGGGTGGGTGCAGAAACGCGGTGCTTGGGCGCGTACCTCGGCATAGGCGCTCGAGAAGGGCGAGCGGGGCCGCCGGGAGTGGGCGCGGCAGCAGCAGCTGAGGCTGGAGCAGCAGCAGCTGGCGAAACCGGCCGTTGAGGGAGAGATGCCGGCCGTGCCGAGGCCGGAACGATCGGCGGCGGCGTGCGTTGCTGCTCCCGAGCCTCACGATCGCTGAGCTCCTCGCGATCCTGCGCAGCATGCCTGCCGTTCTTCTTGGCCTGATCCTCCTCGGCCGGCGGCGTGAAGCGCGGCGGGCTCGGCTTCCTGTCGATGGCCATTTCTGCATCGGTTCCGCTCTCGTCCACATCGCGGGCATCAGCGGATGGAGGCGAAGAGGGTTTCGGCTTGGGTTTGAGGTGGGGTTCGGGAAGTACCGGCGCCACTTTTGCAGGTGCAGGTTCCTCTTCGGCTTGATTCTCTGTCTGCTCGTCCTCGTCCGCCATTGCCTCCGGCTGCTGATCCCGCACGGCGCGAGGCGAGTAGCCGTCGCGATCTGGCGAAGCAGCCTCCATGCTTCGATCCTGGTCACGGACGTTTGGATGATCCATCGAGGACTTGTCGTCCACCGCATCGAGCCTCGCCTTCTTGCCGTCCCTCCCGCCGTCGCCGCGGACGCCCTCCTCGATATTCGAGGATCGACGCTTGCCTATCGCTTCGCTCCGAGGGGGCGATGCCATGATGGGGCCGAGCACATCCATGCTGGTCCTCCGTGCGGCCGCAGAGGAGCTGGCGTCCGAGACGGCACTGCGCGCGCCGATCGACGATTCCGAGAACCGGCGCGGGTCCTGCATGGGGGACGGCTCGTCGTGCCTCGATGATGACGACGACGACGTCCGCCTCGAAGCGGGCACAGCGGTGATGCCTCGCACCGGATCAAACATGGCGCCACGCGGGCTCGGCTCCGGTTGCACGAACGGACTTCGACGCGCCTGAGCCGCGCTCTCCGAGGTCGGCGAGCCAGCGGCGGGAGGCAGCGGGGGAGGACCGGCAAAACGACGATCCGCGCCAAGCAGAGGCGAGGCGGCGTGGGCCGATGCAGGCGATTCGCGCGGATGAGGAGCCATCTCGTGGCTGGGCCTTCGCGCAGAGGCGGAAGACATGCGTCGGTCCAACGACGGGTGGGCGGGCCCATCGCCATGCTGCGATAGGCCAACCGGAGAAGGGTGCACCACGGAGCGACCAGCGCCGTGACCGGCGTAGGACTCGGACGCATCCGAGTGCCTCTTGGGAAAGTACTCTTCCCCGTAGCGCGGGTCGAAGCTGGGCGTCATCGCTGGGATCGAGCGAGAGCCTGGCGTCGTGGGTGGGAAGTTGCCCGGCGTCGGAGGAAGCGAGCCCGGCGTTTGAGGGATGCCAGCGCCAGCGCCAGGGGTGGGCGGCTGCTGAAAGCGCGTCAGAGTCGGATGGACGACCGAGGATCGCCGGGGAGAAGAAGCGAGGTGCGCGGCCATCGAAGAATGGGCATGCACCTCTTCATAGCCAGCGTACGATCCCCCCATCTGGCCGGGGCCAGAGGTCGACGGCCAGACGGCTCCCGGCGTCGTGGGGCCGCGTCCTGGGATCATGGGCCCAGACGATGGCGAGGGCGGCAGCGGTATCCTCCGATTCTCCGGCGAGCGGTGGGCCGGCAGGTCGGGGACAGCAAAGCGGTGAGACGGAGAAGGATGCAGGGCTGGAGGCATCGGGCCAGACGGGCTCGAGGTGACGCTGAGGCTGGGGCCGTGGCCGTAACTCGCCGACAGGGAGCGTGGGTGGCCACCACCCGCCATCAGGCCGGGATGCGAGAGGATCCTGGTCCTGTCGCTGCCGCTGCCGCCAAGCCCGAGCTGTGCGGGGCCCATGGCGGGGCTGGAATTGGTCCTGGATGAGGCGGACGTGAGCGGAGCGTTCATGACGGGCGACTGAGCCCACGATGCCGATGTCGAGGAGCTGGGCCGAGACTGCGAGTGCATCGCCATGCTATCCCTGCCCGATGGGTCGTGTCCCGGCAGCGAGTGCGAGTAGGCCGACGGCGGAGCCGGAGGGGCCGAGGCCGCCGGGCCGTGGTGATGATGTGAGGGCGGAGCGTGCTGCTGGTGCGTCGCGCTCTGCGCCGACGAGGGCAGCTGCGGGTGGGAGTGAGAGTGGGACAGCATCGAGGAGATCGACGACTGCGAGCCAGACCTTGGCCGATCCTTGACCGCGCCGGCGGTGCCGTCGTTGAGCAGGTTGGCCATGCTCGGGCTCCGCTCGGTGCGCGGCGGCGGGCCCGGGTACAGCTGCTGCGACTGTGAAGAGGTCCGCTGCGTCAAGGTGGGCTGGCTCGAGTTGCTGGTGGATCGGCTCATGCTGGAGCCGGGCCGCTGGCTGGGGTGGTAGGGATCGTGAGGTTGGTAGTCCTCGCCCTGATGCGATAGCGATCGAGAAGGTGGGACGCCTCTGGAAAGCGGCGAGCCAGCGTGACCAGGACCACCGGCGGCGGCAGCAGAGGCGGCGGAGGCGGCGGCAGCAGCAGCCTGGATCTCACTGGCGGTGATGAGGTCGTGGATGGATGCGCTGCGGCGGCCCTCATGCGACTGCCGCTGCTGCTGGTGGAGGTCCCCGTGCGGCAAGCTCGAGCGGGACGATGAGGAAGAGGATCGGTGCAGCAGCTGAGGATGGTGCGAGGGGTGCGAGTAGGAGGCGTGCTGCAGGTGCTGCTGTGAATCGTATTGCTGCTGCTGTTGCTCTTGTAGCTGCTGCTGGAGATGGTGTTGTTGGTGAGGAGGATGATGATGGTGCAAAGGCGAGGCTCGGGCCGGTCGCTGGACGGCAGGCTGCTGAGCATAGTGTGCATGCTGTCGATCCATGCCCGACTCTTCCCGGTCCGGATGGAAGCGAGCTTCTTCGGGTGCCGAATAGACGTAAGCGCTGCGCTCGACGTCTGCCCTCATCCGTGCTCCTCCCGCTCCTCCGTTGGGTGCATCTCTGATCGGATGCGAAGGGTCCTCGCCAGAATAGACACGGGCGTGGTAGGGAGGGGCCTGGTCATGGTGAGAGGGGCGTCGGAGAGGGAGGGATGGCGGAGGGAGCGGCGGAGGGCTCGCCGAGTCGCTGGCAGCGGTGCCCATGTCGCGGATGGGATCGTATCCAGGCGGCATGGTGAGGCGTTCGGCGTGGCAGCGGTCTTTCGGGAAACGAGAAGGGGTCCTCGCCGCTTCGAGCTGCGAAGAGGGTTGGGCAACGGTCGGCCCTGAAGGCCTGATCAAGGACCGAGGGGGGCTGTTCAGAGTGCAGCCAGAGGTCGAAGCGGATGCGCGACGTCCATCATGCTACCGGGTGCGAGGAGAAGGGCAAGTCGTGCGGCCTCGTGTTGCGTTCAACGGGAGAGTCGTCGGTCGTCGAGAGGCGAGAGGCGACAGCGACGACGACGACGACGACGACGACGTCGGTTGCAGCGCGCCTCGTGCTGGCTCAGGAGAAGCAGCGAGCAAGGGAAGACGGGAGCGAGGGCGCGGTAAGGGTTTGGGCTTGAGAGCCGGATCGGCGGTGATGGTGTGAGTTCGCTGACGATGAATGCGAGACGAGCCCTGCGACGAGGCCGTGCGAAGGAGGACGTCGCCGCGACCGGATGCAAGAGTGGGGGGCCTCCCTGACGACGAAGCGCCGGATCCAGGCAGATGGCGGGATGGCGGGTAGAGTGACGCCTGCTGGACGGCCGCGAGCGATGTGGCTGGATGGAATGAGCGTGGATGGATGGCGGGAAGGGGGCGACGGCAGGCAAAGCGAATTGGCGTGGTGGGGTGGGGATCGGTTGGATGAAGGAGGCAGGGAAGAAAGGAGGAGCGCAGCAGCCACGCTCGAACCCCGCCCACCACTCACACTCACCCACCACGCCCGCAGCCTCGCCATCTGCCTGGCCCCGAGGCGAGTGAGTGGCCTGCCTGCCTGCCCCTCTGTTGGCCGAGCAGCGTCCGCCCGCCCGCCGTTGGAAAATGTCAAATTGCAGGCCTGCCCGTCGCTGGGCCTGCCAGGCCTGGCCGGGCCTCGGAGGCTCCACTCTGCGCGCCGCGCTCATGCCCTGCCCTGCCCTGCCCCGCCAAGTCGCCCTTCGGATCCGATCGCACCACCCTGCTCCACGTCGACAGCCAGTTAATTGCGCGTGGGAGAGTCAGGCTCGGCCAGGCGAGAGAGCGCAGCAGGCCTCGCGGGGCGCAGCGGGCCCAACCACCGACCACCAACCTGCTTGCTTGCCTCCGACACTCTAACCTCCCGCCTGCCTCTCCGGCCCACGACGGTCTAGTCTAGCCTCTTGGTTCGTCGAGCTGACGGCAGCGGAGGCCCGGAGCTAGTATTCTACTCTATCTGCTCCTCTGCCATTCCTCTGCCTCTGCGAACGGTGGCGGATAGGGTGGGGCAGCGAGACAGGGAGACGTGCGTGCATGGGGGGATATGTAGCTCAACAACGGCGCCCGGTCAGGCTTAAGGTTCGAGAAAGAAGGCAGCAACGGTCCGCATCGCTGGCAGGCGCAGGTGGAGAGCAGCGATTGATGCAACTTCTGGTGTAGCGCCGATACCGAGCTCAACCAGGGTCAACGCCCCGTACGGCCCTCGTTCGGCCGTCTACATGCCCACGACGTCTGCGCAGCGCAGGCACAGCGCGTCCTCTGGCCTCTCCTTCCGGAAGGTGCGGCAGCGCGGGCATCGGGTGCGGCTCGACGCGCGCACCCGCACCTCGACCCGCTCCCCTTGTGTCGCGGCCGCCTCGACCTCGGCCGACTTGATCCACGGCTGCGCATCTGCGGGCGCGTCCGGCGTCGGCGCCACCTTGTCGACCACGTTGACGCGCGCGACGTTGAACAGTCGGGTCAGGTGCGATTCTGACGGGAGCGAGAGGGCACGGTACGAGGACGATACAACGCGGTCAGTCCGTGCGCCGCCCTGCAACGAGCTGAGGAGCACCTCACGGAGCAACTCACCGTGACGGCGGATGATGCTGCCGAGATCGCCGTCGGCGCCCGGCCCTGGAGCGACCAGCAGGTCCACCTCGACCTCAAACGACGTCCTGACGTGGCTGAGGCAGGTCAGCACGTGGTCAGCCGAGGAGCGGAAGCGGGGTATCATGTCAGCTCGATGAAGGAGACGAGTGACTTCTGTGCGCGCGGCATGACGAGCAACATCGCGCATACTCACCCAGCCTGCCTGGCGTCTTCGATGAGCGACAACGAAACGTCCCTAGCACGCAGCAGCTGCTCAACCTCTCTTGCAAGCGCGTCGTCCCGCCACGCGGGATCCTGAAGGACAGAGACGTACGAGGGAGAGAGAAAAACGGGGACATCAGCGACTGGGCTCCTGCCGCGCCGCTGGCAGCCTAGCCGACGCGACTGCTTCACTCACGACGCCCTGCCATCCCCTGGCAAATACCGAGCGACCGGCCTCAGACTCGCTCGGCTCCGGGTCGGCCGTGGCGCCGTTGCGGTAGTGGTGAATGTCCTCTGCCAGGAAGGGCGCGATGGGCGCGACGATGCTGGTGAATGTGCGCAGGATGTGGTCGATGACCGACACCATCGACGTCCGCTGCGGGCCGTGCGGCGCATCGACATACAGGCAGTCCTTGGCGAGGTCGAGGTAGAGCGTCGAGAGGGTGCCGTTGGCGAACTCGGTCACGCGCCGGACCACCTGGGCGTAGTCAAACGCCTCGTACGCCCGGGCGCACGCCGCCTCGAGCGTGGCCAGCTCGTGCATCGCGTAACGGTCCGCCAGGCCCATGCTGGCGGCGTCGAGCGGCGCCACGTCGGCCTCGGGCGGCAGGTTGGCCAGCATGAAGCGCGCCGTGTTGCGGAGCTTGCGCAGCGCCTCGGACGTCTTGCCGACAATGAGCGAGCCGATGGGCAGGTCGGTGGTGTAGTCGCTCCGCGCCGCCCACAGCCGGAGCACGTCGATGCCGTAGGCCGGCTGGTCCCGGCCCTTGCCGCCGTGGACAATGTCGAGCGGCGAGACGGTGTTGCCGAGGCTCTTGCTCATCTTGCGGTTGTCCTTGTCCAGCACGTAGCCGTGCGTCACGACGGTGCGGAAGGGCGCCGCGGGCACCTGGCCCTCGGGCGCCGTCGCCACCGACGTCAGCAGCGACGACTGGAACCAGCCGCGGTGCTGGTCGGAGCCCTCGAGGTAGACGTCGGCCACGGGCCCGCCGCGCCGCGCCTCCTGGACGTCGGACGGCAGGCTGTCCCACGCCGTCGCCCACGACGTGCCGCTATCGAACCACACGTCGATCGTGTCCTCGCCCTTGCGCCACGCCTTGCCCGCCTCGCGGTACCGGGGCGCCACGAGCTCCTCGGCGTCGGCCTGCCACCAGTAGTCGGTGCCCTTGTCCTCGAGCAGCGCCGCGATGTGGTCGACGTTTTCGCCCGTCAGCAGCGGCTCGTCGGTGGCGGCGTCGTAGACGACGGGGATCGGCACGCCCCACACCCTCTGCCGCGAGATGCACCACTCGGACCTGCCGCGGACGAACGACTCGAGGCGCACCCGCGACGACGCGGGGACAAAGGTGACGTCGTCGAGCGCCCTGATGGCGGCGTCCTTGATCTGGTCCAGGTTGGCGAACCACTGAGAGGTGGCGCGCACAATTACCGGCAGCTTGGAGCGCCAGTCGTACGGGTACTTGTGACGCAGCGTGTGGGTGCTGAGCAGCGCGCCACGCTCGGCGAGGATGGCCAGGATCTCCTTGGAGCCCTCGCCCAGCACCTCTTTGCCAACGAGCCGCTGGCTGATGGCGTCGGCGCCGGCGCCAGCGCCGGCTCCATCGAGCTGCTCGAGGTCGGCCGTGTAGCATCCGCGGTCGTCGATGGGCGAAAAGATGCCGACGGTCTCGAGCAGCCCGTGCGATCGCCAGACGTCGTAGTCCTCGCTGCCGTGGGCGGGCGCCGAGTGGACCAGGCCCGTTCCCGAGACGGCAGTGACGTAGTCGGCCGCCAGCACCGGTCGAGCGGGCGCATCCCTGCTCATGAGCGGGGTGCGGTACTGCGACTCGAGCAGATCGGTGCCCTTTAGCCGCAGCAGCTCTCGCAGCTCCCCGATGGGCGTTCTTGCGTCGGACGCTACGGTGGACGCGTACACCGCGAGGCCCGAGACGGCCTCGACCCTGTCTGTGGCGATGACCATGGTCTCGCCTAGCGATTCGCTGCGGACGATGCTGTACTCCATCTCCGGGTTGACGTTGATGGCCATGTTGGAGGCGAGCGACCAGGGCGTCGTGGTCCACACGACCGCCTTGATGCCCTCGCCGTCTGCAACGCCTGCTGCCGCGAGGTTGGACAGCAGCGCCTGGCCGGGGACGAGATCGAACTTGACATAGGCGGCCTTGCTGAGGTGGTCCTCCTTGTACTCGAGCTCCGCCTCTGCAAGGGCGGTGCGGTTCGAAGGCGACCAGTAGACTGGGCGGAAGCGGCGGTAGATGAGCCCCCTGCGCGCCATCTCGCCGAAGATTTTGAGTTGTCTAGCCTCGTAGGCGGGGTCGAGGGTGCGGTAGGTGGCCGCCGGGGTCCAGTCTGCCATGATGCCGAACTGGTTGAACTCGTCCTTCTGCGTCTCGATCGCCGCAGTGGCCTCCTGCTTTGCGCGCTGGCGGATGAGGGTGGGTGCGAGGGCGTCGCGCTCGTGTGTGCGGAGGTGGGCAAGGGCCTTCATCTCGATGGGGAGGCCGTGGCAGTCCCATCCGGGCATGAAGTGGACGCGCTTGCCGCGCAGCAGGTGGTAGCGATTCGCAATGTCCTTGAGGATCTTGTTGAGGGCGTGTCCGCAGTGGAGCGAGCCGTTGGCATAGGGCGGGCCATCGTGGAAGACAAAGTCGCCGGTGGCTGGCGCTGGTGACGATGGCGATGAAGACGAGGGGTGTGATGCGGGTCTATCCAGCTGCCACTTGTACAGATCGTGGCAGGTGCGTCTGTGGAAGAGGGCGTCGCGCTTTGCAGCGTTTGCGCGGATCTCGAAGCTGGTGGTGGGCAGCTGGAGGGTGTGGGACCACTTCTTGTCCTCTGGGTTGTCGGGATCGGAGCGGGGAGCCTTGGCCTTTCCCTTGGCCTTGGAGAGGGCAGTCGTGGTGCAGATGCATCTTGTTGCGGCGATCGGTGACGCTATCGGTGCCTCTGTTGGGGTGGGCAGGGATGGTCGGGTGCGAGGAGAGGGGACGAGGGTGCGCTGGGCCAGGCGAAGGAGGCGTTGCTGGCAGCGCATGCTGGCCGTCCCGGTGAGCAGCTGCGGCCACCAGCGACGAGGAGTCGAAGGGGGTTGCTGTGTGGGAGAAGGGGAGCCAGAGGAGGAGGAGCGGTTGGTCGATAGGCGATAAAGTGCCAGTTGAAGGCCAAGCCGAGAAGGAGCAGGCCGAGGCGGGGCAGCAGGCGCGGGCCCAGAAGAAAGGCGCCACGAGGGCGAGGAGGGCGGGTCAGGGCCAAGATGCCAATTTCCGATTTCCGAATAATCGGCCCCCCCTCGGCCATCCCAGCTTGGCCCGTCGAGCCGGAGCCAAGGTGGAGCCCGGCACTCGTCGGGACCTCCGAGGTCGATGGGTGGTGGTGATTTCAGCGGTGGCGGTGGCGGTGCTGGTGATGGTGCTGGTGCCGGTGCCGGAGCTAGAGGGCTTGCAAGTGATGTCGACCACCAGCTGAGCTCGAGGCAGGGCCAGGCAAGGTGAGGCAAGGCAAGGCAAGCTCGAGGTGCGGGGTGGGCGAGGCGGCGACAGGCCCGGGTGCTGGCAGGGGGCTGGCTGGGCCAGGCTGGGCTAGGCTGGCCTGCCGCGACGTCATTTGGCGCGGGCGAAGGGCCCAAGCCAAAGCCAGGGCCAAGCCAGGCCCTTGCCAGCCTGCCAGGCCCAACTCTTGGAAGAAACTTGGATCGGGCAGAGGCGGAACTGCCGGTCGCGCAGCGGCCCACTCCGGTCGGTCACCAAACACAACTCAAACGGCCCGCGGCGGCCACCGGTGACAAAGGGCCCTCGGTGCCATCGCCCCACTCGTCGCTGTCGCCATCGCCACCACCACCACCACCACCACCATCACCATCAACACTGCCGACAACCTCCGCCCCGACTCGACACATTTTTGACCAGGGTCAAGCCACTCACACTCGCCTCCGCCGCCTCGCCGACCATGCTCCGATCCGTCGCATCGGCCGCCAACCTGCGCGCCCGCAGCGCGTCGTCGGTGTCGGCGTCGGCCGTCGCATCCTCGCCCGCCCACGCCCTCTTCCGCCGCAACCTCGTCTCCAGCGTCCTCCTCAGCAGCACCCGCGACGCCTACGAAAAGAAGCGCATCGCAGAGCTCAGGGACGACCTCCGCTCCCGCGGCCTCTCGTCGTCGGGCAAAAAGGAGGACCTCGTCCGCCGCCTCCTCGACAACGACTCGGCGCGCGCCGGCAGCAACCTCACCCAGTCCGCCTCGCCCTCGCCCTCGCACTCGTCCTCGCAACGCGCAAAGTCGACCCTTGCCTCGCTCCGCAGCCAGCCCCCCGCTGCCGCCGCCATCGGAAAGGCCACGCCAAAGACTGAGGCCAGCAAGCCCACCCTCGGCGGCGACGACGCCAAGCCTCAGCCTGCCGCTTCCACCCCCGCCTCCAACCCTGCCCCCAGCGCCGCACAGGATGCTGCCCAGGCCACTGCAGACGCCGTCGCAGAGGCAGGCAGCCCGCTCGGCTCCCTCAAGCCCTCCGAGACCCCCTCGGACCTGACCGCGGGCACCGTCCACAGCGCCGCCGCAGACGGCCTCGCCAGCGGAGAGACGGCAAAGAGCAGCCCCGACGCCGCACCCGAAGACCCCGCCATCGCCACCAACCCTCCCGGCCTGCCCCCGCACAAGGCCCCGCACCCGCGCGAGACCTTCAACATCCAGATTCCATACTACGAGGAGCCCGCCGAGCCAGAGGCGCCCATCGTGAGTCGCCCCGGCCCCATCGTTGTTCGCTGCCCTGTGCAGCCCGGCTGAACCGCCTCGCCCCCCTTGACCCCATCGCAGCCCCTCGTCACATCCTACACGTCGCTCCGCGGCAAGCCCGAGGCCCGCAACGAGCCCGAGCACGAGACCTCGCCGGACGCCAAGGTTTTCAGCATCTCGGCCACTGGCGACGTCTCGCACAGCAGCACCGACCTCTCGAGCCAGTCTGACGACGCCGCCGCCGCCGAATCCAAGGGCCTGCTCGCCGAGATCCTCGCCGACCTGCAGGGCGGCAACACGTCGTCGGCCGCCCACAAGGCCAACAAGGCCGCCAGCAAGACGGCCGACGCCGCCAGCGGTGCCTTTGGCTCCATCGCCGCCCAGGCCAAGGGCGTCCTCTCCTCGGCCACCCAGTCGTTTGCGCAGGCCGCCGAGTCGTCGTCGTCGTCGTCGTCCAGCAGCAACTCCGGCGGTGGCGCCTCTTCGGGCCGCCGTGCCAACCGTCCCCTGACCGACGACGAGCGCACGGGCGCGTGGATCCTGCTCGGCATCGTCGGCGGCGGCTTCCTGCTCGGCGGACTGGGCAAGCCCAAGAAGCACGACGAGTCGTCCGACCGCGTCGCCCCTTTGACCAAGTCTAGCTCCGCTTCGGCCGCGCCAGCTCAGCAGCAGCAGCAGAAGCCGCAGCAGACCGCCGCTGCCGTCGTCGCCGCCGAGCAGCCTGCGGTTCCCGCGCCGTCAGTTGCGACCGTCGAGGTCCCCGTGGTCGTCGTCCCCGTTCCCGTCCCCGCAGCGGCGGCGGCAGCAAAAGGAGGCGCGCCGCGGGCCCGTGCCCAGCCTGCCGAGAGGCTGTCGGAGGCGTCGCTGGCGCAGCTCTCGCGCCTGTCGACTTGCGAGGTGAGCAACAAGTGAGGGCTGCGCGTGGTTGCGCACGGGTCCCCTCGCTGCGTCCATGCCCCCGGATACCCTCCCGTTCTTGCCTCGCCTTGCCGTCCTTGCTCGTCATCGCACCCTGCCTCCCCAAACCACCCGGGGTAAGCTGTAATGAAATACAAGATGCCGTGATGCCCCCCTCCTCTTCTTTCGGCGTCGTCACCGGGGGGATAAGAGAGAATCGATAGAGCCCCCCCTTCTCGAACGTAGCGAGTCTTGGACGGCGGGTGAGGCGATTGGGGCTGGACCGCAACGCAATGCAGCTAGGGGACCGGCGTGAAGCGAGGCGCCGGGGCCGGGATGCATTCCGAGTCTTTGGCGGCGAAGTGGCACCGACTGACTGACGACGCCGCGGCCCTTGCGCATTTTGCCTCCGTCTTCCCCCTCGTCTTCTTGTCGACCACGACGATACCGACCACGACGACGACGACGGGCAGGTGTCCGACGCGCTGATCAAGCTCAAGGTGCCGCATGGGGGCTACGTGCCCGGTATCGAGGTCTTTTCCCCCTCCCCCTCGGTCTCCCCTTCGCCCTCTGTGCCGGGCAGCAACGACGAGGGCGTGGCTAAGGTCTGCGGTCCGGCTTTCACCGTCAAGGTAGGTCCCTGCCTCTCTGTTAATCGATGAAGCGAGGAATACCGGGAGCTGACGACGCCGACGCCGATACCGATGACGTGCGGAATCGGACTGGGCGGGATCAAAGATGGTCTCGCAACAGGATACCGAAGCGCCCAAGCCGGATCGACACTTTGTCGATGCCGCCCAGCCGGGTTCGGTCATGGTCGTCGCCGCTCCTAGCGGTGAGTCTGCCCTCCCCTGGCCCCTTCACAACGGTGCCCTGTGAGCCTTGCCCACCTTGTTCCGAGGCTGACTCTTCCTGAGCGTGTACGGATGGACGCGGGATCGACACGGTAGAGATGCGGTCGGCCATCTGGGGAGGTCTGATGACGGCGCGCGCCCAGCACCTCGGCGTGCGCGGCGTCGTGCTGGATGGACGGTGTCGCGACCTGGAAGAGCACCGCGATGCAAAGTTCCCGGTGGGTTTCGTTTCGGTCCGGTCCGGTCTCGCTCGATGACCACGACTCGCAACGTCGCTGAACCCTCGTTGCCGTCTCGGTTCTCGTGTGGGCATGCGGATGGGCAGGTGTTTGCACGGGGCCACTCGACACTGGGCCAATCGCCATTCACGCGCCCCTCTGAACTACAGGTGCCCGTGACGATCCGCGATCCGACCTCGCCCTCGTTCCCCGCCCTCACCGTCCACCCGGGCGACGCGGTGCTGGCCGACATCGACGGCGTCGTCGTCGTACCGGCCCACCTCGTCGACCAGGTCCTCGCGCTCGCCGCAAAGTCGCGCGACGTCGACGAAAAGTGCATGCGTGACCTCCGCAACGGCCACGGTGTCCAGGAGACGTTTGCAAAGTGGCGCGGCAAGTAGGCACGCTTCCCTCACCCCCTTCCTCCCCGGCACGGGGCTGGACGTGGCTGGATCGATTGACGCTGCGTAGCATCGAGAGGATGCTGGTCAACATTTCGAGACCTTGGAACGAATGAAGGCATGAATGAATCGTCGACCGGACCATGGCATCGCGACGACTTGCGAGGGGCCCGCAGTAGTGAGGCGTGATAAAGAGGCCAGGTGAGCGATGGCGATGGCGATGGCGATGCCGGCCATGGCGCTGGCTAGTCTGGCCTGGCCCATGCCACCTCCCATCGCTCAGCGCGAGCAGCCAGCCGGTCGGGCGCTTGCCTGCCGCCCCACGCCCGAAATGCGCCGGGCACGGGACGGTGCCTGCTGCCCGCCAAGGCCGTGCGTGGCCGCGAGCCTTTCGATTTTTAATTTTTCGGAAAAGGGTGGACAGGCGATGCGTCCGGGCCCGTTGCTGCTGGCCTGCTGGCCTGCCTGGTGGCCCGTTGCTGAAAGGCGGGCGAGGCAGCGGCAGACGGGAGTCATCGGTGGCCCCGGCTGACCTGCCCTCTGGGCCTGGCCTGCCCGTGGGCCCCACCCACCTGGCCGACTCGCTCGCTCTGCACGGACGCGAGGCATCCGACGTCGTCCGGCGGACAGCCCGAAGACGGACGCTTGGCTGGCCTGGCCAGGCAGCTCGGTGTCGCATCGCGGCCACCCACATTACTCTCTTCTTCACTCCTCGACCACCACCACCACCGCCACTCGTCACCGCCGCCGCCGTCATCACCACCCTCTCCTCCAACCAAACACCGCCACCCAGCACGATCCAATCCACCATGATCTCGGCACTCCGACCCGCCGCCTCGCGCGCCCTCGTGGCCCAGCCGCTTAAGGCCATTGCACCGGCACGCCGCCTCGCCTTTGCCCCCTCGGCGGCCTCGCCCTTTTCGACGTCGGTGCGCGCCCTGGCCGTGCACAAGCGCTTCACGGCCGAGCACGAGTGGGTTTCGTTTGACGACGAGTCCAACGTCGGTACCGTTGGCATCACCGAATACGCCCAGAAGAGCCTCGGCGACGTCGTCTTTGTCGAGCTGCCCGCCGCAGACAGCGAGGTCAAGCAGGGTGGTGAGTAGCGGGGCGCGGCTGTCCTTTCCTCTGCCTCCCGTTTCGATGGCGTGCTAGTCGCTGACCTCCAGGCGCTCGTCTGACCCCAATCCCATCATGCGTGGCCGCGCAGACGACGTCGGAGCCGTCGAGTCGGTGAGTTTCCGTCATCGCCTTGGGCCTTATCCGACTGCCTGGCCCGATCAAGGATGATGTGGCTGACTTCGAGCCGGCTGCGCTGTGCAATCCCGCCCACCTTGCCACTGACAGGTCAAGGCGGCTTCGGACATCTACGCTCCCGTCACTGGCGTAATTGAGTCGGTCAACGAGCAGCTGAGCAGCGAGCCGGGCCTGCTCAACAAGGACCCCGAGGGCAAGGGTGGGTACCGCCTCGGCCGCGACGCTGCCTTGCTACGGTACCGAGCGCTGACCAAGTGCTTCGCCCCCTCTTTGCCGCGCGGTGACGGGCAGGCTGGCTGTGCAAGATCCGCCTGACGCAGCCGCAGGAGTTTGAGTCGCTCCTGTCTGCCGAGGCCTACCAGAAGCTGTGCGAGAACTAGAAGAGAGAGCGAGGCGGCGGCACGAGTGGGCAGATCCACGTCGACGCTAGCCTTGCGACGGCGGCGTGCATATGTATGAACAGAAGTTGCGCAAAGAGGGGCCGTTATCTCGTGTGCGGCAGGCAGAGGCGCTCGCTCTGTCTGTCTGATTGGCCAAGCGTGTCTGCGTCTTTGGCCGAGCCAGCTCTCGTCGGCGGCGATCAAGCTAATGCCTGCGAAGAGGGACGAGGAGCGCCCGCCCGCTGGGTGCGCTGCGTTGTGCAAGCTGTCGAGGACGGACCAAGGCCGAGGTCGGGAGGGGGGCGTCGAGGTGCGGTCTGAGCCACGCCAGGCCAGGCGCAGGCCCAACCCCACCCCCGGCATTGGCGGCACGCTCTCGGAAGTCGGGGGAGGGGCGATCAACCAGCGCCTGCCTCCCTGCCGAAAATCCAAAATTGCGGGGTCAAGCCTACCTCCACGTCGACGTGCGCCTGCCAAGCAAGCAGAGGCCAGGCCCAGACGCAGGCAACGCAGCTGCTTGAGGTGCAGGCAGCTTTCTGGGGGCCCGCCCCGCCGCTTGGGGAGGTCTGGTCTGGTCTGGTTTGGGCTTGCAGCATTCATCAGGCTTGGCGGCCTTGTACCCATCACTCCTACCACCACCACCACCACCACCGCTGCTGTCACCGAGCACAACCATCGCCGATACCGCCGCCGCATCTTTGACGGCGAATGTGAGGCGTGCCACGGACCATGTCGCCTCCACCTCCTCGCCACGACAACGGCGTTGCCCAGGCTTCGACGTCGGCGCTGCCTGATGGCCTCGCACCCCAGCTCGCACACTATCGACAGGGCATGAGGAGGAGAGAGGTGACTGACCCCACCTGGAGCTCCGAACGCGAGGTACACGACGACGATGACGACGACGAGGACCACGCCGGCGGCTCAGAGGTGGCACAACCCCCTGCCGCCGCCGACGACAGTCCCTCGGCTTCCGACGACGAGCAGCAGCCTGAGCGCAGCCGCTCCCGCTCCCCCTCGCCTGTGCCGCAGCAAGCACAAGAGCAGCCCCCCGCCGAGCAATCAGGCGCACCCAACTTTGACCCCTACCACCCCGCCGACGCACCGCAGCCCAACCAGCAGGAGAACGACAACGCCAACCTCGCCATCTGCCGCATCTGCCTCGAGGGTCCCGGTGACAGCGCCGACGACGGCGAGTCGCTTGGACGCCTCCTCAGCCCTTGCAAGTGCAAGGGGACGATGAAGGTGAGCCCACGCCGAGCCTTCTCGAGCGAGCATTCATTCGGGCGTCAGACAGCATCGTCCTGACCCTCCCGCCCACCCTTTTCTGCCCGCTCCCCCCCTCCTCTCTGGCCCCGCCCAGTACGTCCATGCGACCTGCCTCGACCGCTGGCGTGCCCTCTCGGCACGCTCGTCGTCGGTCGTCTCGTGCGACCAGTGCGGCGCGCCCTACCGCTTCCGCAAGAGCCCCTTTGTCGGTCTGGCCACCTCGCCCTCGCTCCTCTTTGCCCTCAGCGTCTTTCTCTTTGTCGCCCTCATCTGGACCACGGGCGCCGTCGCCAGCCTCGTCCTGTCCCACTTTGACACGGGCCTCGTCGACCCGGCCACGTCGGCCGTCATCAGGTCGACGCAGGCTGGCGGCGCCGGCCCAAGTGGAGGCGCGGGCGGCCTGCTCGATTGGCTCGACCAGATGGACCCGGACGACGAGGTGCAGACCGTCGACTGGGAGGTGGACCGCGACTACGGCTACTCGGGTCTCTGGTTTGAGCCGGTGGCCTACGTCCAGCTGATCCGCGATGCCGTCAGGCAGTTTACCTCGGGCGAGGTCGCATCGGCCGTACAGGGGCTCGTCGCACACGGCGGCGGCCTGGCCGGCGACGGCCTCGCGAGCGACGACGACGACAACGACGGTAGCGGCAGCGGCAGCGATGACGGCCGAGGGGCGGGCGCAGGGGAAGAGCACCAGTCGTTCTGGTCGGCCCTCAAGTGGGAGTGGACGTACGGCAAAGACGGCCTCTGGGCCGGTCAGCACGCCTCTTCCTCTGCCGACTCGGCCGGCGCGGCGACGGCCAGCGGCAAGAGAGACTCGGTCGACCCGACGCTGCCTTGTTGCGACAGGGATCGCGCGGCTGCACCGATGGCGGCGATCAGTGGCGAGGGCGAGCCCGGGGCGGCGCGCAGCCAGGGCGGACCCATCACTGCGACGACGTCGCCGGTCGACAGCGAAGAGGGCAAGACGACGGGCGCGACGAGCGGGGAGCGGCAGAAGACGACGTCGTCGAGCCGGGCGGAGCAGGACAAGAAACGGACCGCTGCGGCCGCGAGGAGCGAGTCGAGGACGAAGAAGAAGCACAAGGAGAAGAAGAGGAGCAGCGCCGGCGGCGGCGGCGGCAGCAAGGCCAGGTCGAATCCTCGCGCCTCTCGACGCAAACAGCGGCGGGCCGACGAGGTCGTGGAGCGAGGACCGGGATGGATCGACCGCATCCTGCTGCAGTGTGAGTCTTGAGCGTCCCTGCGTGCCTGCAAGCCCGCCCGCGTCGAGGACACGACTGACGCTCCTCATCCTTGGCTCGGGGGGAATCGACAGTCTCGCTGGGCTTCAGTCTGGTCGGCATCGTATCCTTTGTCAATCTGCTGCTGGGCTTCACGTTTCTGGGACCGCTGAACCTCAACCTCGGACTAGGGCGCACATTCGCCCGTCTCACCGGCGGAGGAAGACGGGGACGACGTCCCACTGCGGCGGGAGGAGGAGGGGGTGAGGAAGGGGTGAATCTCGCTTCGATCCTCGTCGTCCTCCTCGTCCTCATCGGCATCATCCGAGCCCTCCTGCTCGTCTACAAGGCCGTCCGATCCGTGGCGCGCAGCATGCTCAGTAGGCTCGAAGAGGTCGTTGTGGATCGCTACGGTGAGGATGAGGAGGTGCTGCAACAGGCGCAGGACGACGAGGTGCACAGACAGAGACAGCACAGGTTGGCTTGGCTCGTCGCTAGAGCTGGCGATTGATCCCCGACCCCCCTCGCCTTTCGTCGCTCGCATCGTCGTCTACCCCCCCGCTGTCGATTCCAATCTCAAACGATGATATACCCCGTTTCACGTTCAGGAGCGACGATGATGACGATGTGTTGCGATGCGATGGGGATTGAGATGGAATGGGATGCAATAGTGGATGCAGAGTGGTACAAGTACAAAGTCGCGTCGGCGCGCGGGGTCTCCCTCGGAACGTAGCGATGTCGAGCCCCCCGGCGGCCATCAGTAGTAATATCCGTCGTCGTCGTCGTCGCCTGGTGCGCCGCGCACCGACCACGCACCCTCATCCTCGCCCTCGCCCTCGTCCTCGTCCTCGTCGACAAGCATCTTGACCATATAAGGCCCCTCGAGGTGGTACCCGAGCCTGCGGTAGTAGTCGCGCGTCCCGACGCCGCTGATGACGGCGAGCTTGCGGCTGCCGTGCTCGTCGCGGGCGATGCGCTCGGCCTGCTCCATGAGGAGCGTGCCGAAGCCCTGGTGCTGGAACTTGGTCGGGTCGCGCGAGTGGATGGGCACGGCGCTGCCGTACGTGTGCAGCTCGCGCACAATCGAGCACTGCCCATGGCGCACCAGCTCCGGCCGGTAGGTGCCCGCGGCGCTGCACTTGCGCAGGCGCAGCAGCGCAATGAGAATGTCGCGCTCCGGATCCTCGTAGGCCAGAAAACTCTCCCACCCGCCATTGGCGGTGTAGTCGCGCCGGATGAACTCGACTTCCTCGGGGCGGACGCGCGTGTGGATCTCGTGCAGACCCACCTCGCGGTAGCGGACGTCGCGGCAGGTGACGCCAAAGTCGCGCATCCGCTCCAGGGCGAGCTCGCGCAGGTTGCCGTTTTCGACGCCCGAGGATACGAGGGGCATGGGGATGTCGCGCTGTACGCGGTAGACGCGCGTCCAGGGCGGGACGAGGGCGAGGATGCGCGCCACGAGGTCGACGAGGAACGAGGGCGTGTAGTTGCGGTAGCGGCCCGTACGCCACAGCTCGTAGAGGCCGGTGCCGCGGATGACGAGGGTCGGGTAGAGCTTGAGGCCGTCGGTGCGGAATGCCGGGTTCTCAAAGTACTCTTTGAACTGCTCCATGTCGCGCTCGACGCCGACGTTGGGCAGGTCGGGCATCATGTGGGCGACGATCTTGTAGCCGGCGTCCTTGGCCAGCTGGAAGGTCTCGCAGACGGCCTTTACGGTGTGGCCGCGGTTGGTGTCGCGGGCGACGTCCTCGTAGACGGACTGGACGCCGATCTCGAGGCGGGTGCAGCCGTAGCGGAGCATCTGGGAGAGGTGCGGGCGGAGGCAGTAGTCGGGGCGCGTCTCGATGGTGATGCCGATGCACTTTGTGAGTGCGCGCTCCGAGTAGCGGACGGCCTCGTCGACGTCGGTGCCGTTGAAGCCGCTGAGTGCGTTGTGGAGCTGGGCGATGAAGGTGTCGCGGTAGTCTTGCGAGAGGCTCATAAAGGTGCCGCCCATGATGATGTACTCGACCTTGTCGACGGGGTGACCGAGCTCGCGGAGCTGCTGTACGCGCGACTTGGACTGCTCGTAGGGGTCGTAGCGTGCGCGGATGGCGCGCATCGAGGTGGGCTCGTAGCCGGTGTAGGACTGTGTGCTGTACTCGAAGTCGGAGTCGGGACCGCCGGGGCAGTATACGCAGATGTTTCCGGTGAGGGCGATGTGCGGGCATCGGTGTGGCTTGCACATGACGGCGACGACGGCGATGCCGGATGCGGAGCGTACGGGTTTTGCCTTGAGGGCGGGTACGAGGGACTTGCGGTAGGCATCTGGGATGGCGGCGATGATGTCGGTGAGCCTGGGTACGCCGTTGTAGGCGTGCTTTTTGGCGATGCGGGTGCGGAGGTGGTTGAGGGATACGGGCTGGGCATTGTCGTGGGCGTCGACGAGGTGTGCGGCAATGTCTGCGCAGACCCGCAGGAGGAGCTCTGCGGTGTTTGCGCCCATGGCTGGGGGGCGAGGGGGTTGGCGTTGCGAGAGTGGGTGGTTGGCGGTGGTTGGGTGGTGGCGGGAGGCGAGGCGAGGCGAGGCGAGGCGAGGCCAACCGCCAAATTTTCCAAAGGCAGCGCGGGGGCGGAGTGATTGCTTAGGTAAGCAAAGAGGAGGGCGGGTCGAGGCCAGTCCCAACTCCACATGCAAGCTGGGGATGCAGGGTTCACGGGCCCGCCAAGCGTGTGCGCGCCAACCGGCAAAAGGCGCCGATCCAAAGTGGCCGACTGGCCTTGGCTTGGCTGCGCTGCCAGCTGAGTCGAGCGGACCCCCTCTCTCTAATCAATCGTCGGGCCGCCTCGCTCGCTCTCGTCCCTCACCGCCAACCACCACCACCACCACCACCATCGCGGTGCTCTCCCTCGCACTCACACACCTCGTCGCATTCATCCCTGCTCCTCTCCATTCAGCCCCTCTGCCAACACCCACTCTCACACAAGCCCCGACGCACAGCGACTGCCATGGCACCCCCTCCTCGCACTGCCAGAGGGGGGCTCGCCCCGTGGCCCTCCCTCATCCTCCTCGCCCTCCTCGCCATGACCACGTTGGCACTGCCCTTCTGCCTCGCCAGCCCCACAACGGCCGCCACCGACGACCCCCTCAAGCCCCGCTCGCATCCACCCCATCAGGTCGCCTGGCAACTCTCCGCCGACCAACCTCCTCTCCTCGACCCACTCCAGGACCCCGCCCCCGCCCCCGCCCCCGCATCCGTCAACCTCATCGACCTCCTCACCTCCTCAAACGACCACTCCATCCTTCTCCGCCTCCTCCAGCGCACACGCCTCATCCCCACGCTCAACCGCCTCCAGCAGCTCGACGACGGCGCAGGCATCACCATCCTCGCCCCAACAGACGAAGCCTTTCTCCGAAAGCGCGACCAGCAGCACACCGACAGGCTCAACTCGGCAAACCAGCGCACACACGCAAAGGGAATATGGGAGTGGCTCCTACTCCACCACTACGACGACCAAGACGACGACATCCTCGCCCTCGACGACTCGGCCGACGTCCAGTGGATCTGGAAAAACGACGACGTCAGCGTGCGCGACAATGTGAACGCCGTCGCACGCCAGCACCTCCTCTACCACGTCCTCAACTACACACTCCCTTACCACCTCCTCGACAACCGGACCGGCCCGCATCACCCCGACTCTCCTCTGCCCGCCGCCGGGAAGCCAGAGATCCACGAGACCATGCACTTTCCCTCTCGCCGCCTCCTCCGCGAACCCACCCACCCGGGTCGCATCCCCCTCCCCGACCAGGAGGACCACGGCGGCCTCATCGGCGATGAGGGTCAAAAGATCCGCGTCGCCACCATCGAGATCGACCCGCAGGAGCAGGGTGGTCTTTGCGGTCAAAGCAGGGCGACGAGCACCAAGAAGCCCAAGCCAGGCAAGCCAACCAGGGCGCTCGTGTTTGGCACCGACCACCAGGGCCGCGGAGGCGCCCGCTCCATCTTTGAGAACTGGGACTCGCCCTACGGCGTCATCCACTCGATCGACGGCGTACTCGACCTGCCGCCCTCGCTCCAAGACGTCCTCGAGACGCACCCCGCGCTCGAAAAGCTGCGCACCCTCCTCACCCCGGACCTCGTCAAGACCCTCTCGACCACCGCCCACCTCAGCCTCTTTCTCCCCACCTCCGAGGCCTTTGGCCGCCTCTCGGACATCGAGTGGCGCTTTCTCAGCGGCAAGTGGCAGCAGTCGTTCCAGGACCGCCTCAAGATCATGGGATGGCACATGAGCGGTGTCGGCGTCGGCGGGGGCCGCCCCGCGTACGCCCATCGCCTGCGCGAGCAGGGCGACTCGAAGAGTGGGTGTTCTTGCTGACGTTTCCCCCCATGCCCTGTCGTATGACCGAGCGTCTAGCTGACGTTTCGCTCGCATCTCTGTTCCCCTCGCCACTCGCGCAGTCACGACGGTGCTGGGAGGTCAGGTCTCGGTCGAGGTCAAGGACGGTGCGCACATTTACGTCGATGGCGGCAAGCTGGTCGAGGAGGACATCTTCACCGAGAACGGTAAGTAAGCACGACGACTGCGACATCTCCCGCCTTGATCCCGATGGCGCCGGCGCTGACCTTCCCTGCTATTGCTGCTGTATGGAACCCCCTCCCCGGTCGCTCCCCTGCTAGGCGTGGTCCACCTGATCGACGACATGATCCTGCCTTTCGGCGACCTTGGCATGACGGTCGAAGAGTACTTGCTGGCCCTCAACTCCACCAAGTTCGTGCAGCTCTTCCACGACGCCGGCCTAGAGGACTACATTCAGCGACCGCCGCGGTCGAAGCGGGGCAAGGAGACCTTCACCTTCCTCGCCCCGCGCGACGACGTCATCGACGACTGGATGCGCAACCACCGCGTGAGATGGCCAGCCGCCGACGCGTCCCTGGACGACGACAAGACGCCCTCGCTCCAAGAGGTGGTCAAGTACCACATCCTGCCCGGCCTGGTCCGGCCGCAGGATCTCGTCGACGGCTCGCTGCTGGGCACCGAGCTGCGTGACTGGAAGCTGCGCGAGGGCCGACAGCGCATCCCCGTCCAGGTCGACGACGGCGCCGCCCCCAGCCGGCAGGGCAACGGCGATGTCGGTTTCGGCGATGCCAACGTCCTGCGCGAGCCGGTCGAGGTCCCCGGCAGCGCCGTCATCTACATCATCTCGCAGCTGCTCGAGCCGCCGAGCAACCCGATCCAGACGGCCGTGTCGCACCTGACGCTCTCGACGTTTGTCGCCACCGTCTTTAGCGCCGAGCTCAAAAAGGCGGTGCAGCGGGCGCCCGGCATCACGTACCTGATCCCGACCAACGAGGCCTTTAGCGGGCTGGCGCTGGCCATGAACTACTTGCTGCTGCCCGAGTCGCAGCCGCAGCTGCAGCGCCTGATCGAGTTCCACGCCATCGACAAGATCGTCTACATGGACGACTTCCAGCGCAATGCGACCGAGTACCCGACGCTGCTGCCGGCGCCCGAAGCCAAGGTGGTCGCCGAGAGGCTCAAGAATGGCACTGTGCTTGTCTCCCGCGCCGGCGACGACGACGCGGCCATGCCACCGGCGAGGGTCATCAAGGGCGACATCCTCACCAACACGGGCGTCATCCACGAGATCGACCGCGTCCAGATGCCGCTGGATCTGACGATTGTGAGTCGTTGAGAGAGCGCGCCGGCTGATGCGCGTTGGACAAGAGACTTTCAGCCGACTTGACTGACTGGAATCGTCTCGCTCCTCGCCCTCGGTCTCGCAGAAAAACCTGATGCAGGGCGCAAAGGCCGACACGATGGAGGACCTCATCCAGCAGGCGGGCTACGGCTGGATCCTCAACGGCAGCTCTCCCGTCAACGGCAGCCGCGGCGCCGACCGGAGCTACGTTGTCCTGGTGCCGACGGACAATGCGTTTACGCGCGTCAATCTGTCGCGCATCCTCGAGGACCCCGTGTCGCTGCGGAGGCTGGTGCAGCAGCACATTATCCCGCTCGACGCCGGCAGCGGCGGCGTGACGGTCGACGACATTCTGCCAGACGGACGCCGCAACCGGCTGACGATCAGCGAGAGCCAGGCGTTCCCCACTATGCTCGACGTGTCGGCCGGTGGCGAGAGCCGGTACGGTCAGCTGTCGTTCCGCCGCATCGACGACGACGTCGGGGGCAGCTTTGGCGCCGATGCAGGTGCAGGTGGGGCGCGGCAGGGCCGGTACTATGGCGGCGGCGTTGGCGGCGGCGGCGACGGTCAGCATGGAGGAGGCGGAGGGGGAGGGTCGGGTGGCGATGCTGAGGGGCTGGGCTACCTCGTGG